TATTATTATTTTACCTTGTCTTCTGCCATGAGCCCTTCAGGAGAAATGACAGGCTGAGCAACTCTGCACCATGTCTCAGTCTGTTTCTCAGAAATAGGAACTCCCCATAGGTGCTCCTGGGACTCAGGTGCAGGAGGTCACAGGGAGGACCTGTCTCCCACTGCTACTGCCAGCAGCAGGACCAGAGAGAAATCCTTACTCAGTCCCACCTGGCCAGTGACCTCAGGCCTCCAAATCCCTAAACTCAAGATCGCTTCCATCCTCCTTCTGGCTTCAGCCAGCAAATTGTCTTGTTCCACAGCTTTCTCCATTCCCTGAAGATTTCATCTGCAGCTCCATGGAGCAAAAGACAAAGCCCCACTGCTACTGCCAGCAGCAGGACCAGAGAGAAATCCTTACTCAGTCCCACCTGGCCAGTGACCTCAGGCCTCCAAATCCCTAAACTCAAGATCGCTTCCATCCTCCTTCTGGCTTCAGCCAGCAAATTGTCTTGTTCCACAGCTTTCTCCATTCCCTGAAGATTTCATCTGCAGCTCCATGGAGCAAAAGACAAAGCTTGGAAACAGCATGGACCTGCTGCAGCTGTAGGATGCTACAGACCAAGGCAAAGAGAAGGCTGCTCTCACATCTTTATACTGTGACTGCTTCGGAGTGGTTTCACTAGTTTCCTTTGGACATCTGGGCTGTCTGGGCTCAGAGGCACTAAAAAAATGTTTCTAACTTAGCTTTACACAGAGAGGGAGAAAGAGTGAACGGGGATTTCTTACCAGTCGTCACTGCTGAGCCATTTAAGCGCATTGAGCAGCGCCTGCTGTGGGTAAGGGAAGGGTCTGGCTTCCTGGGCATCCCCAAACTCCAACTCTTCTCCCTGCTCCAGGAAGTCCAGAGGAATGGCCGGCAGCAAGTCCACTGTAAGGAGGGTCAGACATTAGCATCACATAACCTGGGGAAAGGCACCCCACCACCAAGCAGACTGCAACCCAGTCTCCCAGACAAGACTACATACAGGTGCAAACTGGCATTGGTTCAGAGACTTCCCTGCTGCTTGGCTCATTTCTTTCCCCAGCACCCAATCATCTCCCAGTCACTGCTAGCTGGGCACCAGTTCCTCGTGTAAACCTGGAAGTTGCACACACCAAGCCAGCTCCCATGTCCATAGGCACCACAATCAGCTTGCAGATTCATAGCACCACAAGGCTCATGCTCACTGGGAGCCAGTGCTGCCCAGCAGGACTTGCTAGTCCAGGAGTAAGCTGCTGAGATGTGCACATACATTTCCTGTATCACCTCCCTGTCACCTGGAGCACTGGGGACAGAGGCACCCTGTAATTTTCCAAGGAAACACCTCCAGCTGCCCCCAGAGAGCACTGAGCCTGAACAACCAGTCCTGCTCAGGTGAATCCCCACGGAGCAACCACCGGGGAACAGTGATACCTGACCCTCTCGACCCGGCAGTGCCTCTGTTTCCATTTACTTCACGTAATCTTGAAACAGGCAGCTGAGTGCACATACATTTTACCATACTGTTGGGAAAGTAGTAGTTTATGGATTTTACTATTTTCCAAGTGTTATAAATATTTACTATTCCAGAGGTATCCACTGGCTGTATTTCAAAGATGCTGAGGTGAAATTTATTTGTCATCAAATGTACTTGTTTGCAAAGTGTGCCATGCCTAAGCTTTCTCTTGTGGAAAAATGCAATTTCTAGTCCAGATAGTTGTGACAAAAAAAGCCTTCCAAATGTGAACTGAGAATAAAAATATGTGAATATAGATGCAAATTGTTGGCAAACATACTCTCTTGATGATAAATATACAAGGTATAAGAAAATCTAGATGACAAATGCATTTGTTATGAAACCTATTTGTCATCAAAAGCACCATAGGTCAAATACTTCATGTCTTGCACTCAAAAGCTCATTTTCTAAAGTGTAGATGAAAACAGCTGAGCTGTCCAAAAGTACTGAGTATAAATATTGCACAGAATTTAGAAGAACTGCTGTGGACTCTGTTTTTATGCTACCTTGCGTGTTCTACAAAGTATGGAGGAACTGTAAAAACAAAAATAGCCAGATGGGGACTAATTTGGATGTCAACCGATATGACTGTTGCTGACATCAGGGATGTCACAGGACAGGTACGTGGATACACACACCTGTATTCGATATGAATGGAGAGCATGTCAGGCTAGTTCTGGTCCATTTTGAAAATCAGAGTAGCATCACTAGGAAAGAACGTTCAAAGTATCATTCCTAGCTCCCTTGTTCTTAACTCATGCTACTCAGGATCGTAACACGAGGTAGGCTACCCACAAAGGAGAGACGAGAATCACTACAGACTCACTAGCTGCTGTATATTTGCTGCAGGAAGCAAGCAGCCCGGGAGCACCAGGCAGCCTGTCATGTGTGCTGTCCGCTACACACCGCGGCCCTATCTGGGTGGGTGGGGTGACCAAAGAGGCACTGCTTGTTCCCACTTTGTGTTGCAGGCGGTGGGAAGCACTTCTAGGTGCGATAGCGTGATTGTACCAAGCCACTCATTTCCAGGCAGAGACAACGCGTGCTGCAATAGAAGAAAAGCTGGCTGGAGAGCCAGAGAGCAGCACAAGGCAGAGGGCCAAGGTGATGAGTGGCTGATTGATCATGGTGGTACACATATGTGCACAGTGAGCACACCTTGCCAGACTGCACTGGAGCTCAGCCCTGCAATTACACCTGCCTCCCAGCACCAGTGTTGTATTTTGGACTGTCAACATGGGCAAAAACTAGAGCTTAAATCTTTACTATTACTTTACTCAGCTAAACTTTCCAATGGATCTGCAAGCAAGAACAGCTCCAGTATCACCAAGCTGGAGTGGATCCAAAGTAGATTTGGTCTCAATCCTCAAGACAGGCTTTGGACCCAAGATCATCCCCATAGTTGAGGAATGAGGCAGTTTGTGCTCCTTGTGCAAGGGCACAGCTGGTGTGGGAGCTGCAGCAGAGCAGACTCACCTGAGGAGTTGCGTGGGGAGCTGCTACCCTGGCTGACGACCCGGATGCTGGGCAGTGAGGACCTGTTGATCCGCTTCTTCAAGACAGCACCATCGTGCTCTCTGCGTGCGTTGCTCATGCTGGGGGAGGTGGAAACTGGCCCATTGACAGGCAGCGGGCCAAAGCCTGCAGAGACCAAAAAGTATCTTCTAAGTGGAGAGAGCTGGACAGGGTGACTATGGGCTTGGAGAGGGCTGGGAATCTTGCTGGAGCTGGGTAACATCCCATTGTTGTCCCAAACAATTCCAAGCATAACTGTTGCACGCTAACTTGGGACAGTGATCACAGAATGCAGTGATGCTTTCCCTAAGAAATGAGGAAAATTCGGTACTGCTTTTCTTTTGCATTGCTGTTTCAGAGGCTGGGTAGGTAAGCTACATTTCTGGGGCTCCTCACTAGTACTCCACAAAATAATAGCACGAAAAAGAGCAGATAACCTTGTCCAGTGCCCTTGGGCTGAGTGCTGACTCTTAAGTTGGCTGTGGCTGCCCTCATGGTAGCGCGTGCAGCAGCACAATCAGAGCCTGTCAGCTGCCCTTAAGTCAGTAGTGCTGCTTGCTTGTGTGAGTCAAACACAAGCACTGGCGAAGGGCTCCAGCACAGCTCTGCAACGCGAGCTGCTCAGCAGGGAGTGGTATGAGCAGGATAATCTGTCCTATCACGTGAGCAAGATCTTTTGTGTTTTACTTAGAAATAGTTTAATTCTGTTTTCTTCCAGGTTGCACCTTGGTTGAAAAGCATTCTTTTGGACTCACACATTCAGCTTTCCTGGAGACTACTCTCAATGAGAGAGTTTGAAGCCCCAGTGTAGTTTGCAAGACAGAATCATCCAGTCTGAAAGACTTTATAGGAGAAGGGGAGAAGGCAATATTCTATGACTAACATAGCGCGGGCCTCTGTATTTTTCTTTGGAAAGTGGAAATAAATCCTATTCTAACTTCCACACTGTAACAGCCTTCCAGTCTGATTTCACAGACACTGGCAACACTATGCAAACAGCAAGCAAGTGAACAAAAAGGCCCACAACTATAGCAACCACTTACTTTCTTTGTCTGCATCCCC